CTGCCAAAGATTAGCATAGCAAATTTATCCTGTAGACATTGTTCCAATTGTAAAAACAACCAGTGTGTTACATGGCCATTTAAACTATATTCATGATAACTAAGAAAATAATAATGAACCAAGATACCCAGTAATTAAACATTTAAATCACACTAAATATTTGAAGCAATTACAATAAACATCAGTCTTTCTTTCTTGACAGTTTCTGTTTACACCAGCATGTCTAGGGTTGAACCAATAAAAGATAATCCCTTGGTTATTCTGTAGTGGCTTCTGTTATGCACTACTCTCATGGAACTTACAGGTGTCTCAGCTGCTTCCTAACTTCCTATTCTTATTAATAGAGAGCCCTGTCCTTCCTTCCTTCCTTCCTTCCTTCCTTCCTTCCTTCCTTCCTTCCTTCCTTCCTTCCTTCCTTCCTTCCTTCCTTCCTTCCTTCCTTCCTTCCTTTTTCATTTTAGAAATACTAATAAAAATTTTCTAGCCTTTTCCTGTTTGCATCCTTCTTTTTCTGCCTCAGTAATCTAACCAGCAATGTCTCAAGTAGCCCACTTCTTTGTTCTAGCTGAGGGTATCCAATACTGCCCATACTGGTATCCAATCTGGTCTAATACTACAAAATGCATTCATGGAGCCATTTGTTTTCCTTCCTTTCCTTTTGTAACTTCAGAAATCTTGCCAGTAATACTTCAGGTGCAACCATTCCATAACCCCTTTTCAAATTGCAAACATCTCTCTCTCTCCCCCCACCTCCATACACCTTAATCCATATGGTTTAAAATCTTTGGTCCTCCAGGTGTTTCACACATCAAACCAAGAAGCCCCACTCAGCTTGGTCAAGTGTCAGGAATTCTGGGAGCTGAAATCAAAAACACCCAGAGGACCCAAGTTGGGAACTAGTGCAGTAGCACTTTCTTGTTCCCTTGCCTTTTGTTTTTGTACTTTACAGATTTAGCAGTAGTGTGTCCTTTCTTGTCCCCTTAGAAATGTTTTTTTCCACTGCACTATGGCAGCCCCACTATGGAAGTTGCCCAATTGGAATGTTGACTTAAAACTAGCCACTGCAAATTGAGTAACAACTAAAATATTAAATTTTGAAGCATGTATCACCATTTCCTGATGAATTATGGCTCTCCTGCTTTTTGTTTGAAGCAAATCATGCAGCAGTGCAACTTAGAAAACAACCAAGGCCACTATATCAATTTTCGAGGTCCCTAGCATGATGTTCGTTGCCTTCCTACACTTTTTTGTTTTTATCATTATACGTGTGTCTGTTACTAGGATACTTAATAAACACTGTAGAACCTTATACTAAGATCATATAAGAATAGATTCCAAAGATCTTCTGCAGAAGAATGACTTCTAATATTATATAATATTTTAAAATTATATAAGGCACACCCAGTATACCTCTGTCTTTCATTTATGCAGGACCTATTTTTAACTTCATGAACTGAAAACTGAAGTGATAGGGAAGCATCAGCAACACTCTAAAGACTATGCCTGCCCTTTTATGTCACCACTCTATTACTTTCTTTGATCTATGTACTCCAGCCTTTGCTCCTTTCCTTCCTGCAGAGGTCATGTCCACCTTTTTCAGGAAGTTAGTTAGTCTGTCTCAGAAACAAAAATCCATGTGGCTCCAGCTACATAACAGATGCTAGCTAAAATCCCAACATGAGAGCCAGCTTTTAGGGGCTCTTATAACGAAGTTTAGTTAATAAAAAAATTGTCTGTCTCCTTTTCTGTATACCAAGCTGGATTTACTTAAACAACATATCTAAGTTTTCCTTTTTGACTTTACTAGAGCACCTTGAGTCATTTTCCCCTTAGCATTATGTCTTTCATTTTTGTCATTAATATTTTAACTATCATGAGCACAAAACTAAAGAAAAAGAGAGACTGTATCAGCAATAAATAAGTCATTTCAATATCACAACCAATATAAGAATGGACATGATAGACTTCATTGATATTTGGAAGTGTGCATGTTTGTGTATGTGTATGTGTAGAACAATGTCATCATTGATTGTAGTAAAGATGTACTGTATAAAGTTTTTTGTAGCAAAAAAGAAGATGCTGTTATTGTGTATCTTCAAGTCAGTTCCGACTTTCCAAAGGCTTAGTTGTTTGCTTAACATGTTAGCTAGCCATGTTAATAAAGGGTGTGTTCACATTATCTCCTTCTATCAACACTTCATTTTCCTTCTTTCACTTTATGTCTTGGGTCTGAGTTAAAATTTAGAAACTTTGAAAGTGAACATCATATGAAGTTACATGAAACAAAATATTTAATTTTCCCGATATATTGTGGACTTGTTTAAGATGTAGTTAGTTCTAATGATAACAGTTGAGTCTAATATGCCAGAGGCAAAAGCAAACATGACTTGTTTAAAATATCATGGAGAGTTTCAGTGGATCTGAAATGCTTTATGATCTTTGTAAAGTCCTAGTTTAAGTTATTTGAAGAGTACAACCCTGCAATTCCTTTGGCACATGCTTCATTCTAAAGTTACTCCCAGTGTAACCAATTACTATGTTATTTGTAGTATGTTCTCTAGACAGTACAAAACTAAGGAACATGCAGCAAAAACAGAACAGAACAAGGAGAAGAGTTCAAAGAATGTTTGACGGGTGAAGTAGAGCATAGGTGTACCATGTGGTCAGGATGGTGTTTCTTTTTTTAAAAAAATCCTGGGTGAATTAGAAATACAATTATGTCTCAAGATCTCCTCAGATGAAAGACACGTCCTCAGAGGCAAAAACTCTGATAGCTCGACCATGACAGGCCTCAAGATGGTTGGCAATGCCACAAGAAATGGCAGCCATGGCACCATGACTCTTCCTTTTCTTTCCCACTTTCCCATTGTGTAGGTACAAACAGGATACAGACAACATCATTATAATACTGTAATTTATGTATTGGCACATATTTAGACCATAGTGAATAGCTAAAGATTTCTGTGTAATGCAGAAGTACTTGCACAATACACAACAGTAAAATAATTATAAGAATATTATATAACAAAATTAGCAACTAGGCATTAAAAACAGCACAGTACATAAAAACAAATCAAAACTATCAGGAAATAATAAAAGAGTGGCAACCAAAATCATTTTTGAAATGCCTTGGGCAATAAAAAGATATTCTGTTGGCACTGGAAAATTTATGACAAATCAGCCCTTGAAGGAAAGGCTTCCTTTTATTGCTCCTTTTTGTGGGAGAGAAGAACACATTGGATAATGACTGGAGATAAGTAGATAATTAGATACGAAGCAAGACTCTGCTCCAGATAAACTAGCCCCAAGTCCTTTAGCCAGCAACAATGAAATAATTTGATTGTATTAATCATTTTCAGTGTGCAAACTAGCTCCACTCTTTTGAATCAACAATTGCAAAGCTATCTCTGCCCAATCAAAGTCAACACTGGACTAAATTTGATCCCAGCCCTATATTATTTCATTTATGATGACAATGATAACTGCTACTATCGTTACTACTACACAGAAGATGTTGAGGAAACAGTAAAAATAATTTCACCAATTACTTAGGCGATCCCTCGTTGGACGAGTAAGATGGTCTTCCATTATGGATTTCCTTGTGGGTCCGTATGTGGCTGTGGAGCCTATTCTTGCTCTGCATCTTCTTCCGCAGTGAGGGCATTGGTTTCCAGGTGGAAGGCGGTCCCGGTCGGGGTTGGCTTGACGCGCCTTCCTCCTGGCACGTTTCCCTCTTTCACCCTCCACTCGTGCCTCCTCAAATTCTGCAGCACTGCTGGTCACAGCTGTCCTCCAGCTGGAGCGCTCAAGGGCCAGGGCTTCCCAGTTCTCAGTGTCTATGCCAGAGTTTTTAAGGTTGGCTTTGAGCCCATCTTTAAATCTCTTTTCCTGTCCACCAACGTTCCGTTTTCCGTTCTTAAGTTCGGAGTAGAGCAACTGCTTTGGGAAACGGTGGTCAGGCATCCGGACAACGTGGCCGGCCCAGCGGAGTTGATGTTGGAGGACCATCGCTTCAATGCTGGTGGTCTTTACTTCTTCCAGCACACTGACGTTTGTCCGCTTGTCTTCCCCGGTCCTGTGTAGTTGATGGTGGAGGACCATCTCTTCAATGCTGGTGGTCTTTGCTTCTTCCAGCACACTGACGTTTGTCCGCTTGTCTTCCCAGGAGATTTGCAGGATTTTCCGGAGGCAGCGCTGATGGAATCGTTCCAGGAGTTGCATGTGACGTCTGTAGACAGTCCACGTCTCACAGGCATAGAGCAGGGTTGGGAGGACAATAGCTTTATAGACAAGCACCTTGGTATCCCTACGGATGTCCCGGTCCTCAAACACTCTCTGCTTCATTCTGGAAAATGCTGCACTTGCAGAGCTCAGGCGGTGTTGTATTTCGGCGTCGATGTTGACTTTGGTGGAGAGGTGGCTGCCAACGTAGCGGAAATGATCAACATTTTCTAATGTTACACCATTAAGCTGTATCACTGGCATTGGAGAGGGGTTGGCTGGTGCCTGCTGGAAAAGCACCTTGGTTTTTTCAATGTTCAATGACAGGCCGAGCTTCTCGTATGCTTCTGCGAAGGTGTTTAGAGTGGCTTGTAGATCTTCTTCTGAATGCGCACAGACGACATTGTCATCAGCATACTGGAGTTCTATAACAGATGTTGTTGTAACCTTGGTTTTGGCTTTCAGTCTGCTGAGGTTGAATAGCTTGCCATCTGTCCGATAGATTATTTCCACTCCAGTGGGAAGCTTCCCATCAACAAGGTGAAGTAGTGCAACAAGGTGCATTCTTTGGTCTTTTTCGGGCAGTCCCTTCCAGAAGAAGGTGTAGCCTCCTTTTTCTTCCTTCAGCTGTCCCTCTCCGGCTCTCCGGGTCTCCTGAAGGGCTGCTATGTCGATGTTGAAGCGTCCCAGCTCCCTTGCAATGATGGCAGTTCTGCGTTCGGGGCGTTCACTGCCACTGTTGTCCATAAGAGTCCGTACGTTCCACGTACCAAAGTTCATTTTTCTTTTTTGGCCGCAGGGTGGTGACCCCACTGGACGCGGCAGTCCAGTCAGGGATAAGAGAGGCAGACTATGTTTAGGGCACCTTTTCTAGCCCCCTCCCCGTGTGGGGTGAGCAGAGTGGGTCCTAAAAAGGGCTGCTCAGTCGCGGATACAGCTGCCGAACTACTCAACTGCCTCGGACCTTGAGGTAGGTTTTTTTTATTTTTTTTAGTTATTAGATTTTTAGTTGTTGGTTTTAGTATTTTATAGATTTAATAGATCTAGTTTTTTAGTTTTATAGATAGTAGTTAGTATTAGATTAGTTTTAGATGTTGTAGATTTTTAGTTTAGATTTTAGACTTTTATGTTTAGATTATATTGTTTTTATTTTTATTTATTTATTTACCTTTTTTCTTTTTTCTTTTTCTAGCTGTGTGCAATTTCTATTCTCAGTCGCAGATACAGCTGCCGAACTACTCAACTGCCTCGGACCTTGAGATAGAACGACTGAGTCCGTACCCACCGCCCATGTGCCAGTCTGTGACTAGGGGCTTCCAGATTTCACAGTCCTGCCCCCGTCGCCACTCGCTGATCGCCATGGGGCTTTGGTTGGTTTGTTTTTATTTTCTTTGGAAGACGCCTGTGCGTGGGTTTTTTTAATGTGTGGAGGTCAGTGCACAACTGATCAACACACAGACTTCACAGAGTGAGGTTCCACTGGTGATGTAGTTTAACACAATGACCATGGCTTCTCAGTCTGTTGCAGCCTTCTTCCGCCTTCGCAGCCGTTGTAACATGTGCCATGTTATCCTCCGCCTGCTCTGCCGTTGAGGTCTTTGGGTCTTCGGACTGTGCTTGGTCTGGAACCTCCCCCGCAGCCACTCCTGGGAGTGCACGACTCCAGTTGTTGTGCCTACAGGTTCATCGGAACGCGCAAGCCCCCTCACCACGACAAGGTGACAGTCCATCGAGGGGGTGTACCAATAGTACTATTGCTATTAGGACTACCACCACAATTTCAGGATCCTCACTACAGTACAACTTCCATAACTGGTTTCAATGTTTGTACATATTTATGGTTTTATGTCCTGGCATTGAATGTTTGCCGTATATATGTTGTACTCCACCCTGAGTCCCCTGCAGGGTGAGAAGGGCAGAATATAAATGTTTTAAATAAATAAATAAATATCCTCGGGAGATATGTTCCTGAACTTATTGTGGAAACAGGAAGCCCTATTGAAATGAATGACCTCTGCTAGATTCATTAGTAGTAGTCTACACTGAAAGATCTTGTTTGCACTGCAATAAGTTTATATCCATTCATTTCTCACAACAATTTATGTTGCATGTGCACACAGACTACAAGAACTCATTGCCTCCATCACAAATATAATAGCTATTTTGATACATTTTAGTATCTGGAATTTTTAAAAACAATCTTTCGTAAAACAGAAAAGCCACAAGGTGGCAGCAGAAAATTATTTTTGCAAGGATTTCCAAGTGAAATTGGAAGTGTTACAGTTATATGCACTTTCTCTCACACACTCTGTTTTGCAAATAAGCATTACTCTCTTTGTTCCATTGAAAACTGTGTATGTTTCTGATCAAAAATATTTCCATTTAGACCCCATGTTTTAGTAAGTTAGTCAGCAATGTGACCTTTGAACAATAAACCTTTTAAAGTTTCAGAAATCACCTAACTTTAAACTAACCTTGGCATGGTTTGCTTAGCTATATACCCATTTACATAAGTTCAAGGAGTCTGTGTTGCCAGTGTTGCAATGAAGACAATGTACATCATCTCTATCAAGACACTAACCCGCATTCATGTGGATAACTGTGCTATCCACTACACGTCATATTCCTGATTTACTTCTCTTTTTAGTCATTCTTTTGATGCAGTATTTGAATGTTATGGGCTTTGGAGAATTATAAAATCAAATAGCTGGATCAAAGAAAAACTATGGGTTCTTTTACACTACAATGGTAGTGCTATAATTTCATTTTAATGACCATGGTTGCATCCTGTGGAATCTGGCAGTTTGTAATTTGGTGATACACCAGAGCTTTCAGACTAGGAATCCAAAATACAAACCCTTGATCACATAGGATGGGCCCATTACAGTTAAAGTGTAGCCATAACACTATAATTGTGTATTGTAAAAGTGTCCTATGTCCCTGGGAACTTCATCACTTTTTTTGTCATGTCAGGAGCAACTTGAGAAACTGCAAGTTGCTTCTGGTGTGAGAGAATTGGCCATTTGCAATGATGTTGCCCAGGGGATGCCCGAATGTTTTTGATGTGTTACCATCCTTTTGGGAGGCTTCTCTCATGTCCCTGCACGAGGATCTTCAGCTGATAGAAGGAGCTCATCTGCTCTCTTCCGGATTCGAACCTGCAACCTGTCGGTCTCCAGTCCAGCTGGCACAGGGGTTTAACTGAGTGTGCCACCGGGGGCTCCATCATTAATCAAACAAAACAAGACAGATAACAGCAAATGCTCCTAGCTTCAGGGTCATTTGGTGACATCTAACATGTCACCTTATAGGTTCAGCATCTTGGAGAGCTCCTTTAAAGTTCAGATTAAAACTTAAAGCAAATTCACTGTGGTACTGAAAATAGGCATCACCAGCCATCTGGGGAATCTGTGCTTAATAAATGGAAATAGGAGCAAGTGAAAGATACAAAATGGGAAAAACAATGCCTTTCCCTTGTTAGTCTTGTTGCTGTAAGATACCACCGTCTTGAAAGCCGCAGTATTCCTTCTCTAGGAAAAAGTGGTGTGGCAAATTACCGATCTATCCCTTTTCCCTAACTTCAAATATTTTAATTCAGTAATTCTATATATTTTCAAATAAAAAGCAGTTTACATTGATATTTTGCAATAATTAATAACCTAAATACAAAAAACCTTGCTATATTGGTATATCATCTGAAAGTTATCAGCTTTAAAAAAATCTTACCATATTTTTAAAAAGTCACTCATTCTTATGTCTAAACGCTGTTATTTATAATAGGTGAGAAACAAACAAACAAAAGCTCAGACAGTTTGTTATATTGCATGCTGAGCCCTTCTTTAAAATTGTTGCTTCAGAAATCATAAAGCCAGAGCTAAAATGTTTGCTGATATCAGTGGGATTAGGATCAGGCCTTGAAAGGTTAGTCAGCTTTCTGTGGCCCAGGATAGCAATTCCTCCAATTCAAGGCATCCAAGTGACAGTCTGTAAAATTAGACTTCAGCCATCTGGCTGGAATCCACATAGCATTGCTTCTAATGAGCTGCTATCTGCTCAGCCCCTCTGCAGCTGCTCCATCAAAAGTCTCCATAAAGTTTACCCAAATGTTTAAACCTTGTTAAGACTTTTGATGAAACAAGCCTGGCAGGCTATAGGGCAGTATTGTGCAAAAAAAAGAAGTTGGGATTGACTTCAACGGCTCAACACAGTTGGGAATCAGCCCCGTGGCTGAAGGGCATAAAGGAACAGAGGATGATTTGAGATGCTACCAGGCATGGAATACAAACTGCAGATGGAGAAAAAGACACAGTACTGGCAGTTCAAGTACTGCCTCTGTTTTGATTCAGAGAAATGGGGAAGTGATTTTCCCAAAAGGTAGATGAAAAGAAAAGCCAGTGGCAGAAGACAAACAAGATCAATAAACCTGGATGTTTGAGAAAGGTGTATAATTCTGTAATTATAAGCATTTGGCTTTTCTCCCTCTCTCTTTCTTCATATGCTAAACAAAAACTGGGCTAGAATAGAAAATAGAAAAGTCTGGCCTTTTCTATTTGAAATCTTTAGTCGAATGGTGGGATGTTGTGGAGGAAGAATGTGCTCTGAGGAAGGGTGTTCAAAGAGAATTTGAGAATCTACAAAGGCTTAAACAGATGTAATTTCCTCTAGGTTTGAATCACAGGCATCTAGAGACTTTCATTTGCATGTCCTGCAGGTTTCCTCTCCTGCTTTCCTGTGATACTGTATGATAAATTACTTTATTTGCTAAAGAATTCTGTACCGGAGCTTCAACAGGCAGTCTGATATCTAGGCAGGCAGCAGTCCCTCAAAAGAGACACTTATTAAGCTGTAAGGATTGAATGATTACTAAATCTAGCAGTGTGATACTTGACACATTCACCTCCAAGAAAAAAAAACTTTCATAAATGTACTTTGAAGTAAGTATATTTATGAAGCTCACAAAAAAGTTAAATGGGATTAATAGAATTACTATTCAAAGTATGGGACTCTTAAGTCTCAAAATGATGCATTGACCACTTAATCTCTTCTTTTGTTGCCAGGGTCACAGCAGCACTTAAGCATCACCAGCCATCTGCAAAATTTGGCACCCTAGCAGATGTATGACTAGGTCATGGGAAAGGAGTTGAATGGTGAGTGCAATTGAATGGGTGGTGCTGAGAGGGGTAAAAAAAGTGGCAATTCCACTTAGGAAGGTGAATGCTCTTTGCCCATGGAGGTGGGATTGTTTCTGTCTTGTGTCTGTGATATTGCTCTTCAGGCTGACTTGCTACTGGCTTGCATAATATATTTGGTATCTCTCAATGCTTGTGACAATGGATGAAGTTGTTAAACTCTGGGAGGAAATGCCATCATTGTGGTGTATTGAACGGGATGAAGGAAGGAGCCAGTCTCAGTGGTGTAAGTCCAAGAAAAAGGGTTAGGTTGGTGCATTCCACTTTTGAAGCTTCCTATTTTCCCCCCTCTGTAAGCCAAGATGAGCAATTTTTCATAATGCTCCCTTCCCTCCACAGTGACACAATGGCTTCTCCTGGGACTTGTTAGCTGGGAGCATAGGAGGCTTGGGATGGAGCACAAAAAAGATCCATCCCAAAAAAGGGGATGGGGGCATGGAATGAGTACAGAAAAGTATGGGTGGGGTATTATCCTCTGCTTGCCTTAAGCCATACCAGGTGTATGAGAGAGATGGAATTTTAAAGAGGATCAAGAAGAGTGGAGATGAAGCCATTAGGTTGGAGAAAGGGAGGCAATAGGCTTGATTACTGTTCTGTAGGATCATGTATGTTATGTGTCTTCTGTTGGGCAAGTGGGCATATGAACAAAAGACCCTCCTTACAAATTTACTGCAGAATAACTTATTAGTGGCAGCGTGACCCAGTACCTGTAGCCAAAAGTGATAAAAAGAGCAAAAAACACACAGACCAACGTTATTTCTTCCTTAGAAGGCTTTTCTTTATGGCAAAATACTATGGTTGCACTATTTACAAGAACAAGGTTTCCATAACACAAATAAAGTTCTTTATACTTCGTTCTTTGCTTCTATGCTGGGCTTCTATCTCATGCAGATAAAAAGCTTCACTGTCACAGAGCCTCTTCTCACACTAAACTTACACAGGAGCTTCACATAGTAGCCTTTTACACATAGCAGCCTGCACACTGGACCTTTTCATGCGAAGGCCTTTCACTTGGGGCTTCTCTCACCAAAGCCTTCTCACACCAGGCCATCCTCACACTAAGGCCTATTCATCCTGAGGCCTACTAACACTGGAGCCTTCCCATACTGAGGTCC